CTGTTGTGCGGAGGGGTGTGTCAAGGCCGTGTGCATCCTCGGCACCCCTCCTCTTGCACTGTGCTGCCCCTCTCCCCACAGCCGGGAGTTTTCGGCGCTGGCTGCCCTGGAGAATCATCTGGGAGCTTCTAAAAAGTACGGGCACCTGAGTGCCACCCTAATTAACTCGAAGTCACAAGAGTGGGGCCCAGGTGTGACAGCGTTCAAGCTCCCAGATAATTCTGAAGGTGCAGCCAGGGTCTCGAGCCACTTGCCTACGTGACCTTTCACACCACGACTTCATGACCATGTCCTCGCCAGGAGCCTTCAGAGTCGTCTCTGCAGACCCTGAAACATCCAGAAACATTCTTGGTTCCCCCAAGGCATCTAGCCAGATGTCTTCTCATACAGGAAGTGGATTCAGCTTACAACCCGCTCCAGAGTCCAACAGCTTCTTCTAACACTGAGGTCATACAGTTCTTCTTTTTATCTACGGATAATCTTCCATAATGGACTAATAGGCAAGATATTTCCTCTCTGGCCTAAGACCTTAACAGCATGTCCAGAACCAAGTTCATTATTCTTTTTTTCCAGTAAGCTCTATGCCTAGCATGGGGCTTGAACTCATGACCCTAAGATCAAAAGTCGCATGCTCTACTGACTAAACCAGCCAGGCACCCCCAAATTGATCATTTTTATTTCTTGAATCATGAATGAAAAAAATCTAGAACGCTAAAATGCCTTTGACTGCATTGGTGTAGTTCTCTGCTTCTCAATTTCTCTCTCTCCAAAAAAAAAAAAAAAAAAAGAAGGAAAAAAGAAAAAGTGTCACTGCTTTCTGCTTTCTGCTTCAGGCTTCCCTGGCCCGGGAAACCATCCTGCTCATCCTGCCAGTCTCAGTCATCACACTGGAATGTGACTACGTGTCTCCCCAACCAGACTTCAAGATCTTTGAAGGCAGGGACCGTCCCTTAGTCATCACTATCTCCCACACCCAGCATGGTGCCTGGCATAAAGTTTTGTTGAATAATGAATCGATGAATAAAATTTTACAGGTGTAGCCCACAGAAGAAGGCACCACTCTGGTTGGTTTCCCTGGCTGGATTCATGAAGAGGAGACATGAGCTCTCAGCCTAGAAGCTATAATTTGGAAGGCATGCCTATACTCTCTGCAGAAAGTACATGGTCCTCCTCTGGGCATGAACTTGAAGGAGGGTCTTGCAGAGAATCCCAAGCCTGGTACACATAAGAATCACCTGAAGGCCTTGCAGAACTTGTCCTGATCCTACCGGGATAGGGAAGTGGTCTTTTTGCACACTCCCACTGGCTGCAGACCACAACTGAGGAGCAGCCTGGCACTCCCCAAGGGCAAAGTTTCCATCACCCAAATATTTGAGAAGTAAACTGAGGAGGAAAAAAAAAGAAAAAACCACTACAGGATGGAGATCCACCTGTAGCCCAGGTAGGAACCAACGTTCTAGAACAAAACTTGTCCCAGCGCCCCCTGCTGGGGTGGGGAAGCTTCACGTGGGCACAGAAGGGATGCTGCAGACAGCATACAGAGCTCACCGATCTGGCAGCCTCCCCTGGTGGGCAAGGAGATCTCATCTCTCCCCTGGGAGGCTCGAATAAGTCATCTAAGTGATGGAGACAAGGCAGGGTTCAAAGGTGCTTCCAGGGTCCTGCTGCTCCTGGCTGTATTCGCCAGTCCCCAACAAACACCTGCCCTGCCAAGGAGATTCTTCTCCCTTCCAGTGACTTCCAGAACAGATAGAGAAATGTGGTGTCTATCCATGCAATGGAATATCACTCAACCACGAGAATGTGATGCGTGCTATAACATGGGTGGACCTTAAAAGCATTATGCTAAGTGAAAGAAGCTGGACTCAAAGGTCATGTGCTACATGATTCCATTTATATAAAATGTCTGGAACAAAGGCTGAGAAACAGAAAGCAGATTAGCGGTTGCCAGGAGCTGGGAGGAATGGAGAGTGACTGCTAATGGGCACGGAATTTTCTTCGGGGGTGATGGAAATGTTCTGGACCCAGATAATGGTGATGGTTGCCCAATACTGTGAAGTACTAAATGCTACTGAGTTGTACACTTTACAAAGGGGTAAAATGGTAACTTTTATGTTATGCGTATTTTACCACAATTTTTGGACACCCCATGATTCCGGGAGAACCCCAAGGGCTAGGCACCACTGGTCAGCTCAGAAGCTTAGGAGTTCAGCCCGGGGACTGGTCTGGTTCCCCAAACCAGGGCAGAAGCCTGGGTGCTCAGAAGAAGAGGCACTACCGTGCCTTCCAGTCACCCATGACTGTGGTCTGTTTCTACACAGAAAACACTTCTGACACCAAATGTGTATGGGGGTCCCCACACTAACCAGTTCTCCACCACCAGCTAGGTGTCCCGCAATTTAATTCAATTTTGATACTAAGTACCTGGAGTTCGCCTCAGACCCCACAGGGTAAGGGCTCCGTCTCAAAACTGCCCCTATTCCAGATGCCGGTTGCAAGTCTTAGACCACCAGGACCTCTGGCTGACCAACTATAAATTTACGGGTTTCCCACAGCCCTCTCCCCAGGTTTGAGAATTTGCTGGAACAGCTAGTGGAACCCAGGAAAACCATTCACTTACTATTCCCAGTTTATTATCAAGAACACAACTCGGGAGCCATCAGATGTAAGAGATGCGCAGGGCAAGATATGGAGGGATTTCTGTGCCCTCACCGAGGGCACCACCCTCCCAGCACCATGATGTGTTCACCACCAGAAGCTCTCAGAAACTCCTACCCACCCCATAATCTGCGATGAGGGGTGATGGGGATTTCATTACTTGGGCAGGATTGAGTGAATCATTGGCCATTAGTGATGAACTCAATCCGCAGCCCCCTCTCCTCCCAGGAGGCTGTGGTAGGGCTGTCAGGAGCTGACCCTGGCCCCATGGCACTTGCAGAGCTGCGAGGGTGCAGCAAGCTGGACCCCACAGACCCAGGTTCATCACGGAGGAGGGGGCGCGGAGGAAGCCCAGGATGGCAGGTACCGCCAGACCAGGGCAGTCCGGAGCACTGCAGAGGAAGCAGGCTGAAAGGTGAGTCAGAGTCTGGCAGGTGAGGGGTGAGTGTTCCAGGCTGAGGGCAGAGGGCAGAGGAATCTGTGAGAAACCAAAAGATGCACACAACTGACTGGATTCTAGAGACCAAGGAGATGAGCAGGGGGGAGGATGTATCTGGAAAGATGGGCTGGAGCCATGGAGGACAGGGCTGTGTGGTTGGTCCATGGTGAGGAGGAGTTTGTTCTTTACTGGAGGGAAATCTGTGGCTCCTCTCCGCTTCATTCCCTCTAGTCAAGTGACTACCAAGTTGCTTCCAAGATACCTGTTGCTTATCCACATCTCTCTGTCCTCCTTGTTATGCATCTGGTTTATGACACCATTGTCCTGTCCAAGAGTGGTTCTTCTGCTCGCTTTACCTTCTTTCTGGCTCCTCAGAGGTCCCTCAGCATCACTGTCATAAGGAATCACAGCCTTCCCCTTGACTAACCCCAAGGCCTCTTTGCCTCTTCCCATCCCCTGCCCCCCAGGGACGGCTCCAGGATGAAGGATATGATGGGACGTCACCTGCCCTCACCGTGTTGCCTTGACTCCTCATGGTGACAAAGTAGCTTCAACAGTTCCAGCCCCCCACAGAGACCAACACCCCCAGAAAGTGTTGGGGCGTTTCCCTCAACAGCTGTTTCTAGAAGAGGAGAAAGTCCATCCCAAAGGCCCCGTGCCTAAATCAGTCACTGCCCCGAGGAGTGAGACATCATGATTCCCCCACTGGGAAGGAGCCCAGGAGCCTAGGACTGCTGACGTGAGAAATAATCCGAGCTTTATCGGTGAGAAGGCAGGGACAGCTATGATCAGGAAGCAGCAGGTCACATTGCTTCCTGGGAACTCCGCATTTTACTCACAAATCGCCTTCTCCTCTCCAGGGCAAATCCATCCTAAAAAACATCTTTGTCGGAGGCCACAGACACGTAGCCCCCGCCCACGGGCTTCCTTCTGCAGCGTCTCTCCCGGAAGGTCCGTGAAGACCCCCGCCTGGTCCTCCAGCCCCTGGCCACACTGCAACATCCATCCTGAACGTCACAGCAGCCCTGCGCCCAGACCATACATTCCTCTTCCAGAGAGTCATTCCGGACACCCACAACTCCTGCTCTGTCGATTTTCCTCTTTTCAATAGCATTCTGCCAACGGTCTCACAGAGATGGAGCCCCTGATGCATTTCTTGGCTTAGTTCCCCTAATACTGTGATCGGAGTTGAACACTGCCACGCTTCCATCCCCAACAAACCCCAAATGTGACTGTGTCCATCATGGTGGAAGGGGGCGCTGGAACTCCCCCTTATTCAAGAAACAACTCTGGCATCGGCTGGGAAGGGATACTCAGGGAGCCCAGAAGGATGTACAAAATGGGTCTTTATATCAGTTTCGAGTAATGTCTTCTACCTGTACAGACAGTGGCGCGCTGGCAAATGGCTAATGACCAGCCCTCACCTCTCGCCCCCAACACCTCTCTCTCTCTCTCTCTCCTCTGTCTATAATGACTTTGATGTGCATAAAGGTAATAAATACTCAAGACTAATCATTTTCTAATTGTTCTACTACATGGCTGGGAATGGGGGAGAAATACATTCCCGAAAGGAAAAAACCAAGGTGCTGTTGGCAGAAGGAAAGCTATGCATACAAATGTTAGCATAATTCTGAGGCCTCTCGGCTGGCTCCCACCTACTCCTCAAGCCTCCTGCCACAGCCCTCACCCCCTCCCCCGGAAGGAGTTCCAAGCCTTACTGGATATTTCTCCATTCCTGGAATCTGCCTCACTCACACTCACCCTGGACATTTGCACATCGTACAGCCCAGCCAAGTGAACTCCTACTCATCTGTCAGGTCTTGGTTTGGATGCCACTTCCTCCAGGAACCCTCTGTGATCCTCAAACTGGGTTACATAGATCTCCTATGAGCTCCCATATCCATTTATATTTTATTTAATAAATATTCATTGGTCACCTCCTTTGTGCCAAGTTCTGCACTACTATATTATTCTTGTCTGTATGTTCCACTAGATCTTACACTCTGTGGGGGTCAGCATCTTAGGTTATCTTCCTCTCACTATGTCTCCATGACACATAACAGTACATGGAACAGTCAACGCAGGACAAATTCTTGCTGGAAAAGAAAAAGAATAATTTTTTTAAAATTGACATGAAATTCCCACATAGCATAAAAAAATAGCCCTTTTAAAGTGAACAGTTCAGTGGCATTTAGTACCAGTGTGCAACCACTGTCTCTGTTGAGTTCCATTTTCATCTCTCCCAACAGAAACCTTGTACCCACAAAGCTGTCACTCCCCATTCCCTGCCTCCCCACGCTCTTGGCACCCCCTAATCTGCCATGAAAGAATTTTTAAATAAATGAAAGTTGTCTGCCTTTGGGTTGGACAAATAATTTGCCTTTCTCTCTAACAGCCTGCAGAAGCATTGCTTTAAGCCAAGCTGTGCCCGTGTGGGATGGGTACACCAGAGACTTTTTCTGCGGCTGGCTGTGCTCCGCCTGGCACCCCGTGGCACCCTGAAGCACACGGGCCCTTCCTCTCTAGGAGGTGGGCCCATCTCTTCCAAAATTGAGTGTCTCTCCTCAAAACCTCCCCCTGAACTGGAAATGGTCCAGTGCAGTCAGCGAGTCTGGTCCCAGGGGCAGCTTTCTTGGGAGAGCGGAGCCTTGAGTGCCTTCATAAGGAATCTGTGACTTGGGTGCGTTCTCCAGGGAGGGGGATCAGGCTCCTGGGTGCAGGTGGAAGGAGGCACTCGAGGCGGCGGGGTGCAAAGAGCACTCCGCTCATCGGGTCCACCACTGTGGGAAGGGGCAGAGCCCAGGCCTCGGGGCCTGCACTCCCCGCTCCTGAGGGAGTGAGCCTGGCTCCCCACAGCCCCCGGGGGGGGGGGGTTAGCAGGGGCAGGATGGGGAATGCAGGCCGGGAAGGAGTGCATAGGAGAAGGTCTGCCCCTGGGGACCTATTTCCCTGGCACTGAGAAGCAGGGCATCCTTCAGAGTCCTTGGACCTCCTAACGTGCTCCTCGGTGGCCCATGTTGTCCCTGTTTATCTTTGTTTTGCCCATCGTCCTCCCCCAGAGGCCTGCAGAACTGTGGGGGAATTGAGGAAGGTGGAGGAGGAGAGAGGAATAGAACCTGGGGAGGGGGAGGGCATCCTTCCATCTCTTCTGGAAGAGGTGGGGGGATGAAGGAGGCCCGGGGGGTGGGGGTGACAAGCCGGCAGCCGGCCCGGGTGTGCGTCTTCACCCGCCTCTCCTCCATCATGGCTCCTCCGTGGGTGCCTCCCAGCCAAGCAGCCCACCCACAGACTGTCGGATCAACGGGGTCCTGCTCTGACACCGCGCAGTGTCCCGCCTTAAGGTCACCCAACAGTGTGTCTTTTCACATCCCACATATTTCCTGTAGTTGCTGTTAACAAATTACTACAAATCTCCTGCCTTTAAACAACACAGACTCGGGGCGCCTGGGTGGCTCGGTCGGTTAAGTGTCCGACTCTCGAGCCCGGCTCAGGTCATGATCTCACGGTTGTAAGTTCGAGGCCGGCGTGGAGCCTGCTTAAAAAAACAATAATAAAATAAAATAAAAATACACAACACAGTCTTATTCTCCTTCCATTCCGGAGACCAGAAGTCCAAAATCATCTTAAAGGAAGGAGTAAAATCAGGGTGTCAGCAGGAGATTCCTTCTGGAGTCTCTAAGTGAGTGTAGTAGGCTGGATGGTGCCCCCAAAAAGAGATGTCCATGTCCTAACCCCCGGAGCCTACACAGAGAACCAGATACGGCAAAAGAGGGAATAGCAAGCACCTTTTACAGAAATGCATGTGATTAAGTTAAGGACCTTGAGAAAAGCTTCTCTTGGAAGTGCAATCCCACGTATCCTTATAAAAGAGACACACAGATAGGAAGACACAGAGAAGGGAGAAGGCACTGTGGGCACAGAGGCAGAGCCTGGAACCGTGTGGCCATAAATCAGTGTCCACAGTCACCGGAAGCTGGAAACAGCAGAGACCGGAAGCTCCCCTAGAGCCTCCAGAGGGGCTTGATCTCAACACCGTGATTTCTGACTTCTGGCCTCCAGAACTGTAAGAGAAGACATTTCTGTTGTTCTATGCCACAGAGTTGCGATGATTTGTTACAGGCGCCCCAGGAAACGAATACAGCAAGAATCCGTTCCTTGTCTTTTGCTGTTTCTAGAGGCCACCTACATTCCTCGGCTTAAGGCTCCCTCCTCCCTCCTCACACACCAGTGGTGTGACATCTTGTCTCTGACCTGCCTCCCTCTTATGAGGATCTTTGTGACCGCACTGAGCCCACCCGGGTAATCCAGGAGACTCTCCCCATCTCGAGATCCTTAGCTTTATCCCATCTGTAAAGTTCCTTTTACCACGTAACATACACACAGGTTCTGGCGATTAGGACGTGGACATCTCGGGGGTCCACGGAGACATTATTCTGTCGCCCACACTCAGGTCCCCGGCTTCAAGGTGTTTTCCAAGCATGGTCCCCAGGGGTCACCGTTAGGACCTGAGAGTCCCCCGAACCTGCAGAAAGATTCAGCAGACTGTGCATGCCTTCTCTTCCTGCCGTAAGACTTGGTCTTCTCCCTGCATCTGGCGGGGCCCCTCTGGGTTGGGCGGTAGAGACGCTCATCGGCCTTCAAACCCTCCAGCTTGGAACCCACAGCCCTAAGAGGCCATTCTTCTTGGCTCCTTCCCTTCCATCTTTCTGCAGCACCACCACACTCTCATTTCCCCCAAACTCTGCTAACCCTGCCTTACCATGGTGGTGGCCATGTTTCCACAAAGCTCACTCAGAACCACTTTCAGCGGTGGCACTGAGTGAGGGCATAAGTGGCCCGCTGTCTTTGGAACAGGACAATCAACACAGCCCTTGTCACCCTAGGCCACAGTCAGCTGGCGTCAAAGGGATGCCCAGCAAACAAGTGATTCCGGCTCAGCGGCAAGCTCCACCCTTCTTTGGAGCGCCTACCTTGTTTCTAAACACCCAGGCCACCCACTTTCTCTCCGCATCATACGCTGCTGCCTGACCACCGCCTCCGGGGCCTATGACTTTCGGCTGGCCAGACCCCAGTTTGGTCCAAGCAGCCATGATGTGCAGGGGAGGCTGGGGTCGGCCGAGCCCCACCCAACCCCTCATGAATTTTAATTGGTCCAAAGCAATCGAGGTGACTTCTCTTGCCAAATGATTGGTCAGGCAGGGGCAGGTGAAGCCATTCCAGCCAATGAACCTGCAGAGCCTGTCTGGTGAGCCCAGGGGAGGAGTCCAAGATGGCAGACAAGGGAGCGGGGCAGAGGAGACGAGCAGCCAGCCTGAGTCCTGGGGGGTGGGGGCGTAGACCTTGGAATTAGCAGCCTTGGACTCTCGGGATTCCACGTGATTGGCCCCTCTGGAGCTGGGCTTGTATTTCCCATGGCAAGCATCTCACCGGTTCTGTCTTGCAGGTGGCTTCTGCTCTCTTTTGCTCTGTCAGTGCGCACCTGTGGCCCTCGGGGCCTTGTTGGTTGTCATTCTAGTAGCAGCTGCTGCTGATCCCTGTTTACAGCCCCTACCACACACACACACGCACGCACACACACACACACACACACACCCCGCACCACCCCCATGCTGGCGTTTTTGTTTTTGTTTTGTTTTTAAGATCTATTTATTTTATTTTAGAGAAAGAAAGAGAGCAAGCACCAGCAGGAGGGGTAGAGGGAGAGAGAGAGAATCTCAAGCGGATACTGTGCTGAGCAGAAGCCCGAGGTGGGGCTGGATCCCATGACCCTGAGATCATGACTTGAGCCAAAACCAAGGGTCGGATGCTTAACCGACTGAGCCACCCAGGCATCCACCACCTCCCCTTCCTGGCTCTGACATCACAGTGAGGTTCCAGGTGTATACACCAGGCATGAAATAGTTAAGCTTGGCTGCCAGGTGGGTGGCGGGTGGGTGGGTGAACTTGGAGTTGATGGCACCCTGAACAACGGGAAGAACTTTTAGTTGTCACTCAAGTGGAAAGTCAAGGTGGTCCTCGCAGCCCCTGCTGTGGCTAGGAGTGGTGTGGAAACAAAGCAAAGAACCCACCCCCACCCCCCCACACCTTCCTGCCCCATCACTGGAAGCACAGCAGGGCCTGGGAGAGAGAAAACATTTCCTGCACTCATCCATATGGGCCAGGAAGAGCAGCCCAGAGCATCAGAAGTACAGTAATGGAGCTCTGCAGATAGTGAAGTTTGGGTTATAAAAAAGTCACTGCCCCGAGGCTAAGGGTCTGCTCTGTGCTTAGTGTGACCAGCTGGGACCAGAGAGGAGGCTCTGTGAATAACCCAGGACTGGGAAAACTGCATGGAGTCTCGGGACAGCTAGGCATTTCACAGTCTCCATTCCAAACCACCAGCCTTGACTCACCTTCCTGGTCTCTCAGTTCCCATTTGTTCTACCCTTGACAGCCTTGTCCTACCTGAACCCTGGGTGGGGGGGGGCACTTGTCTTGACCAGGCAGGACTTTAAGAGGCCCAAAGAGACCAAGGCCACCTCCCTTCTCAGAAGGGCTCCAGTCTGTTATTTTAAAAATCAAGGAATACCAAAACAAGCCTTCTAAAACTATGGCATATTTTGAATGTTATAGTTCTTAAATTATTACTTTTGATGCACATACATGCAAGCAATGAAATAGTTCTCTGTCCCAAAAGTATAAAAATTGATGTTATTTTGAGGGATGCAAAATGTCGGAACTTTTGCAGCAAAATTGCATCAATTTTGCATTTCCAGTAAGACAGAATATTATGCTAGTTAGGACTGAATGATGACTCTGTGCCACTGTATGACCATCCTGTCGCTGCTGTAGCAAATGACCACAGCGTGGTGGCTTCATTCAATGGAACTTCTTCTCTCTCACTCCAGAGGCCAGAAGTCTGAAATCAGTTTTTACTGCTCAAGGACCTAGGGGAGAATCCATTTCTTTTTTTTTTTTTTTTAAAGATTTTATTTATTTGAGAGAGAGAATGAGAGAGAGAGAGCACGAGAGGGGGGAGGGTCAGAGGGAGAAGCAGACTCCCCGCTGAGCAGGGAGCCCGATGCGGGACTTGATCCCGGGACTCCAGGATCATGACCTGAGCCGAAAGCAATCGCTTAACCAACTGAGCCACCCAGGCGCCCGGGGAGAATCCGTTTCTTGCCTCTTCTGGCTTCTGCTGGCTTCTAGCTCCCCGGCCGCATCACCCCAACCTGCCTCTGTGGCCCCATGGTCTCCTCCTCTTCTTGGGTAACATCTCCTCCTGCCTCCCTCTTATGGGAACACCTGTGGTGGTATTTTGGGCCCACCGAGATAATCCAGGATAATCTCCCCACCTCAAAATCCTGAGCTTAATCACGTTCTGTGCCATAGAAAGTAACCTTTACACGTTCCAAGGATTAGGACTTGATTTCCTGGAGACCCTTCATTCAGCCCACCACACACTGGTGAACTACAGACTTCAATCTCTTAAGACTATCCTACACTAGAACAGTGCTCTGCACAGATAGTTACAGGACTTGGAAACAGTGTTCATTCAAGCAGGTGCTGTGGTTCAGGGACAGAGCATCAATTCGAGGCTGTACGAGAATCTTCCAGTCCTGCCGGTGCCTCTCTGCTTCTGCATGGACAACCTTGCTTAGAGAGACCATCCCAAATCTTCATGTGAGGCTTTCTGGAAATATGATGGCCTAGCCAATGGCAGTCTGCCATCCCTACCCCACATTCGCCCAATGATAGGCCCTGTGGCAGGTGCATTGTGGTGCCACAACTCCCCCAGGCAGGGAGTCCATTTGGAGCCCCACTCACATCCTCATCCCAGACTTGATGCTTTAAGCCCCCACATGTTTGTCTGAAGAAGGCCTATCCTCTTATTCTTATTGTGCCAAAATACATCTAACCTAAGTGTTACCATGTTAGCTGTGGAAAAATGTGTAAATCAGTGGCATCAAGGACATTCACAATGTTGTGCGACTACCAGCGTTAGCTAGACCCAGTCACTCCCTGTACCCCCTCCCCGGCTCCTGGCAACCCTAATCTGCCTTCTGTCTCTATGGATTTGCCTAGTCTAGATATTTCCTATAAAGGGAACTGTACCGTGTTGGTCCTTTGTGCCTGGCTTCTTTCACTTAGCGCCATGTTTTCAAGGTTCATCCAGATGGTGGCACATTTCCGTATTTCGTCCTTTTGATCCTGAATAATATCCTGTTGTTTGTATATACTACATTTTGTTTATTTCTTCATCAGTCGATGGACGTCTGGGTTGTTTTCTACATTTGGCCATTCCTGACTGGAACCCCAGAGCCCACGAGACCCTACATACATCACCCCTGAATTAGGGCAGTGGGCTGCCTCTAGGTCCGTGAGCTTCCGTGCCAAGCCAAACAGGACTTGACCTTAATCCAACACAAAGAATGTGGCCATGATAAACTGGGTTCCTTAATGAGACACACGCCCACCTTCTGGTCTCCCCACGCCCTCCTTCAGCGAACAGCCACCCTTCTTCCAACCCCGTGGTCCTCGCGGGCCTGCTGTGCTCTCCCAGAGTCCTACTGATGCGGAACTCCGAAGCTCTTCCACCCCTACTCCTCGTGTTATTTAGAGGGTAACAAAGGGGACCCTGCAATCGGTCACCATGCACCCAGAGAACCTCCCCGGCTGCTGTCCAATGTGACCTTGAAGGAGGCCCAGGCCGGGGCAGGGTGGCTTCTGAGCCAGCCGGTCTTCAGGCCCGTGGGTCCCAAATGTCGACCTCTTGGGCCCTGCTGGGTCTTGCCAGGGCCTTTCCAGGAGAAGCCAGGGCCTGAAGCTGGGTATTGACACTTCTGAGGTGGATTCTCTGCCAATGCAATTGCCTTTGATCAGAGACCCTCTCCGCCTCCCCCTCGTAACAAGTTGTGAAATCAGAAAGTCTAAGTCTTCCCTTTAAAGATGAGAAGGACAGAATGACAGTTATAGAAATTTCTTTTGTTTAGTCTGCTTTAAAAGGGAACAATGGACCAAGCAATTTCCATGGCATCACCCCAGAAAGAAGTATTGTGGTTATTAAAATAGTGTGCTTACTTTGTGCTAATGAGAAAAGCTGGAGAATATTAATGAACTCAGAGACTCTACAGAGCGCTAATTATCTGACTCATCAGGCAAAGGTCCCAAGTACCATTACAGAGACTCTTCTCTGGCCTCTATCATTAAGAAACTTTGACTGTTGTCCCACCACTCTATTTAAAAAGTTGAGAATTTTCTTGTTGTCCTTTTTTTTCTAGAGTCTGCTTTTCCTCCCTTCCTTCCTTCCTTCCTTCTTTCCTTTCAGTAGGCTCCACATGAAGCCCAATGTAGAGCTTCAACTCATGACCCCGAGATCAAGACCTAAGCTGAGATCGTGAGTGGGACACTCAACCGACTGAGCCACCAGGTGCCCCTTGTTTTTCCTTTATAAATATAATTCTTTTTTTTAAGATTTTATTTATTTGAGAGAAAGAGAATGAGAGTCAGAGAGCATGAGAGGGAGGAGGGTCAGAGGGAGAAG